CTTGGTCTGCACCTTCCAGTCTATCCCTTTGGTCTTCCCATCCAGCCCTACAGCACAGGGCATTATGTGTTTACTAAAACGTTGTGATGGCACTTGACTCAATTTTTCTTCTGTTGGTTCTAATTTTTTTGGAAAGTATTGCCTATATGTTGGTATCTTACTGGGAAAACAGATAGTATCTCATAAATATATTTTGGAGAAATAAATTACCTAAACTTTCAGCACCTTCTTATATGCTGACTATTTCTAGTGTTTCCAAAACTCATTTGTTCAAACCCGAATCTTTATATGATGATATGAGGAGGTATGGCCTTTGAGCAGTAGTTTGTGAAACTAGAAATGTTATGAATGAAGATTAATGGTTGTATCAGAGGATGTTATGGTTTCTCTCTAGATGTTCCCCCAATGCTTTATGCAGACATAGGTGGGTCTTTTTCAGAGGTGATTAGATCTAGAATGTGTGATACTCAGATTAAGGATGTGTGGCACTGATTAGTTTGGTATCTGCCCTAAACTGGGTAGCTTAGATAGAACACAAAAGAAACAGAAAAAAGCTGCTATTGTCACTTGTGGTTTGCCACTTGCTTGCTTTGTTGTCTTCTGCCCACTGTGAACCATTTCTCTTCTGTGATGCCTGTCAGCCACCCTGCCTTTGAGCCTTTGATTATGAACTGAAACCTCCACAAACTGTGAGCCAAATAAACCTTTCCTCCTTTAACTTTGTGTGCTAGGTATTTTGTCTTAGCAGTGAGAAAAGTACTTAACACAGAGAATAAAGTGACCAGAGCTCTTTCTTTTGAAGATAGGAGAATAAAAGGAAAAAGTAGGTATTACCTCTCTTGTATTGGGTTCTTTTGTTCTTTTTATAAGCATTTGTCTTTCCTTTAACCATATTATTTTGCAGACTATACGTAGAAATAGGAAGAAACAGCAGATTATATGCATAGAAACTAATATTAAAATTAATAATTTATATAAAATATTTTTAAAATTATAAGATTATAGTAGTATTCTCTTGAAACTTCTATAACTTAATCTTGGAACACAGTATAAGTTACCACTAAGAAATCAGTTATATTAAGAGAAATTGTAATCAACAGAATCATACTAAAAATGGTATCACAAATGAACAATTTAAAAATACACTGTTTCATTATTCAATATATTTAAGCGGTTTTTTTTTGTTGTATATTCTAAGGAATTCAAGCATTACTAGGCATTTACATATTTAAAAGAATAATATATATCAAAGTATTCTTTATAGTATATTAATAAGATGTAAATTATTTATGGTAGACCAATAAATCATTCTTCAATCAAATTAGGAAAATTTTTAAATTTTGGAGCTAAAAGATCTCTTAGACTCTATTGGTATTTTGATTTTTTAGTATTCACATTCAATCTTTTAAAAGTTTGAATTTATTCCAAGAATTTTATTCTTGGAAAACTTTGAATTTAAAAAACTAGATGTGTGTGCTAAATCTGGATTTACCAACTATATATGTTCATGACTAGAGTATAACATAAAATTTAGGTATCTTGGACAATAAGTTCTTGCCAAATATGCTTACATGATGTGGACTAAAACTCTATACAGTCCCTTTTAGCCCTAAAAATGGAAGAATTCTAGCACATAAGGAACAAAATGAACAGATATTATTTCTATTTTAGGTGTACATTTAAACTTCCATATAAATTAGAATGAAGTTCACTAGGCATAAGTTCTCAAAAGATGTATTCTTAGCAGCATATATAATTTTTGGATACAGTTCAGGTATAGCTGTACAAAATATAGCTATAATTTCTTGCTGATTTTAAGCAATATCCTGTATTTTATGCTAATAAGCATAGTGAACATATAAGTGAAAAGGTCAAAGGTTTTTCAATCTATAGAGCAATTAAGTTATATTTCTGTATTTTACAGTTGGACAGCTTCAAAAGTGTTTGTTTTCATAATTAAATGCCTCTTCAGCTTTTTAAATACATGTAGTTTCACTTTTAGACCAATAAAAATGCACACTATGCATCTAATTTCATATGCTTTTGTACCCACATGTATATGCACAGATGCACGTGTATTTGTGTATCTTTTGTTTTTACTTTTGAGTATCTTTCTACTTCATATTTCTAGAAAAAAACAGAAAACATCATAAAGTCCCCGGTTATGCCCAATCATGTTCCAACAGGACTTGCCTTTTAAAGTTCCTAACACCTCTTAATATCATCACATTGGTGACCAGACCCTACACACAACCTGCAGGGCACAAACCCCATCCAAACTACAGAAACTATGCTGAAGGTGAAGCAGAATCAATATGAGTTTTTCAATAGGCATTATATGCTATGGATTAAGCTAAATGTAATTTAATTATGATTGCTGAGATTTGCTAATCATAGCATAAGCTTAAAATTTAAATTTAAGAATGATAATCCTTATAGTCAGATGAGGATATAACTAATGTTTTCCTTGATCTTTAATATTTTCATTGCAAAAATATATTTGCATATTGTCTATCAAAAGGTAAGACAGATATACGAAAATAATACAATACAAAATATGGAAATTATAGTTCATAATTAAATGAAGTATAAATGCATTTTTCCCTTCTTAAGGATTTTTTTGATAAATTTTCAGTAAAGACCTTTTCTTTATAGTAGAAAATGGTTTTCTGACACTGGAATAAATATGATGTTAACATTTTGGGGTATATTACTAGTTCATATGTTATTAATTTCAACTTACTAAATAATTTGTTATGAGTTTCATTATGGTAAGACCTATGAATTAGAAAGAAGACCTAGAATTAGAAGCCTAAGAATACTAAAATATGACAAAATGTTTTCAAGTATTCTTCAAACATTTATACCTTCAAGAAACTCAGCAAGGACAAGTTCTGTTATTTACATAAGCATTTATTTTATATTGCTTTGGTTCATACCCTGATGTTTTATAGAGAAAAAGACAAAGTGAGTTTTTCAATAGCTACTATAAAATGCTATCAAAATGCCAATTCTTGAATTTGTCTGCTAAGAACACATATTTTTGTTGCTTATTTCTATAAATGTTAAATCCTTTTTTCAATGTATGACTAATCTCAGATTATGAAAATAAAATGTCATGCAATAAGGTATGGACTATGGTGGATTTAGTTTATTTTAGATCAAACTAGATCCTAGATAAACTTTCCTAATTTAATTTTGCTACTTTTTCTCTTATTATTTAACCATGGGGAAAGATTTCAATATTCACAACTGTCTATCACTTATAAGAGTAAGTGTTTTCAAAATTCCAAGCCAGCACAGAAGGAATCTGCCGAGCACCTTGTTCTATGTAGGTGTCTACCTGCTTTCCTCTCCCTACCACACAGGGTAGAGACACTAGAATTCTCTTTTCCCCAGGGTTGGTCTTCTATGGAACTGTTTTTACTAAAGACCGAACTATGGAACTGTTTTACTGAGACCGAACTATTGTTTCCTCCCATGCCTCTGTGTGTGTGTGTGTGTGTGTGTGTGTGTGTGTGTGTGTGTGTGTGTGTTTGAGACAGGGTCTTCTATGCAGTTCAGCCTGGCCTTCGGCTTCCTTTGTAGCCCTGCTTGATCTGGAAATTGCAAACAATTCTCCTGACTCAGCCTCCCAAGCGCCGAGATTATAGAAGTGCGCCACCCCACCCAGCTTCCCTGTCTTTTTAAGGACTGGCCATAAAGAAATTTGGCCTATTTTGCCTGATAGTCTGTCATAAAATCCTCATTTTAGAAGGCATCCGACCCTAAGCCCAGAAATTCCACACAGGATAGAAGACAGAACCAACAGACCTTACCGGGGTATCTTTTGCAATGTTACATGAAGTAACATAATGCTTGTCCAATCACATTTCTACATTGCTGTCCCTGGATATTTTGGTCAGTTTCTAAAAGCTGTTGTGTGAAACTTTCATTAAATAAATCTCTTATGCTTTTCCCTTCCTAACTTGTCTTTTGTTATGGAAATGTGAGCTATGACCTTTAGGACAGGTAGGGAAAAATATCATACCTTTTTGCTTCCACAATTTTTTCAAGACACAAAAGTATCATTTCCATTATTTTTAGTAGGCAAAAAATGTTATTAATAAATGCAATGTTATCTTAGAATATTTATTAAAATTAGTCATTTTTCTGACATTAAAATGATGTTCAAACTATAAAAACTGGAGAACTTGAAATACAATTTGTAATTCTTTCAAAGTTCTGAAAATAGGGCAATTAGTTCTGCACTGACTGGTTGTTAACCTAAAATGTAACAATAAAACAAGGGTTGTACTATAAAAAATTTACGTTTTTTCAAAAGATCACTGTTGGATCAGAAAAAAGTTACACATTACAAAGGATAGCTAAAGTCTGTGTAGCTTGCAGAAACATAAAAGTTTAACACACTTCAAATAATAGTCATAGGAAGCTCTTAGATTCTTTCAGTGCAACAGATTTATTTTCCAATTCAGAGGATCACCTGTGGGCAGACATTTAAAAACTGGGGGCAAACAAATCAGTATATATTACATCTATATGAACTGGATTCGGGCGAACGAGTTGCTAAGTTATAAATATCTTCTTTATTAAAAATGTTGGTACTTCATCGAATATCCAAACCATACTGATATATAAAAACACACACTTTTAATGTTGTCGACATCACAGGTCACAGCTGGAGGCTTTAGGGAATTGAAGAATAACAAATCAAGATGCACGATTCGTCTTTCAAAGAATCAGAACTGAAGGGGAAAAATACAATAGGTCCCTGCAAAGGTCAGCAATGTTCAAGTATCAGGACGGGCTGGGGGCCCAGCTCCGGGTGCAGGACCGTCCGGCGCCGGGTTCCCGGAGACCCGGCCGGGGCGGGCCGCGCACATGGTTCCCCGCAGTCCGTGCAGTTCCTCGCCGGGGTGCGCGCTGGAGGTCAAGGCCCGGGCGGGCTCCGCGCAGAGCGCGCGCGGGCAGCCCCGCCCCCACCCCGGCTGCGTGCTGCGCTAGGGCCCGGGCCCCGGGGGCTCGGGGTCGCGCGCGGGCGGCTCCGCCCCGTCCGTGCGCGCGCGCGCGCTCTGCTGCTCCCGGCGCAGCTGCAGCAGCGCCCGGCGGTACATGGCCTCCAGCTTCTCCAGCCGCGCCCGCAGGGCCCTGGGGCTGCCGGGCTCGTCCTCCCGGCTTCCGCCTCTCGCCCTCCGGCTCGGCGCGGCCTCCTCCGGGCTCAGCGTCGCCGGCTCGCCGCCGTCTCCTGGGAGCCGCAGGGCCTGGCGGAAGAGACTGCGGTTCTCGCGCCTCAGCCGCCGGTTCTCCAGCCGCAGCCGAGCGTTCTCCTCGCGCAGCCGCGCGTTCTGCCGGTCCCGCTCGTCCCGCGCGCGCAGGGCCTCCAGGTGGCTGGCGGCCAGGTCGGCGAAGCGCTCCTCCAGCTGCTGCCGGGCGCCGCCCGCGCGGCCTTGCCAGCCCCCGCCGCCGCCCTCGCTCGCGCGGCCCGTGCGGCCCGGCCTGAGTCCGTCCCCGCGCCCGTCCCCACCGCCGCCTCCGCTGCCGCAGCTCCCGCGCCCCGTGGCGCCACCACGCATGCGCCACATCACTGCTGGCCCCGCCACGCCGGGCTCCGAGGGCAGAGGGCCGCGCGCCGCCGAGCGTGGGGCCCCAAGAGCGGCCCGGCGGCGGCCAAGCGGAAGAGGTGGCGGGCGGCGGCTGCTGGCCGGAGGCCAGAAGAGGCTGGGAGCCTGCCCTGGGTGAGGCGTGTCCTGTCTCCCGTAGCGGAGCTGCCCGCTGGGCCTGCTCTCTGTGTCGGGTCACGCTGGTGTTCCCGGGCAGCCCGTCGCCACAGTCCTCTGGCCACGCGGGAAGGCAGAGGCCTCTGCGGGGGCTTCTCGGGTGCTTCCGTGCCTGCGTGGGTATTATTGGGGGGTCCAGCTGGCCTTGCCTGGCTCCAGCGTGAGCACTCAGGTCCTTTGGCTCTGCACGTGGCAGCCTCAGAACAGCTGCTGATGGTACCCATGACCTCGTCCTGTGCTCCTGTCCTGGGCTCAGCAGTGGGGAGTGCACCCTGTGTCCTTTACTGTAACTAACAGAAGCTGTGGCTGGGGAGAGTGGCGCCCGGAGAAGATGCCTAGGAGCCACCTCAAGAGTTTATACCTAGACTTAGGCAAGAAAATGACACTGCCGTGGATGCTTTTAGCTAGGCCGTGGACCTGGGAAGGGCACACTCCCGATGCACCTCTCAGTTGATCCTAGCCCTGGTCCTTTGAAGCCATTTTTCACCTAAGCGTCTGCTTTCTAAACATCAGGCTTGTGTTGTCCTCCGACTTCGAGGCTCTTGCACATGACTGCCCATTGTCTATCTCCCTGCTTCACTACCCGTAATATAGTAACTTCTGGAACAAAGCTATGGGGCAAACTTCAAAGCTGTCATTGCTTCATTTAAAAGCCAGCAGTTTAAGCCACGTCTATGCTTAATAACACATTGAACAAGATAGACTGAGCGCCTATCCTCAGGTGTTTAAGGGCGAACAGGCAACCCTGGTAGTAATACAGGCAACTCCCAGTGTGTGGACAGAGGAATCCACTTGTAAGTTGTTTTGCGTGCAATGGAAATGAGACTAACTAGCTGGTTGGCTCAATCCAGGCTCCCACACCTAAGAAACACAAGATGTGACCCATTCCTTCAAGAAACTGAACATTCAGCGAATTGTAGAAGTTTTGAGGACAGGTGAATATAACTGGAAATCAAATATATTCCTCATTCCCGAGGATTTATATTTACATAGTACTTGGGTTACTGTAAGATTAGTTGTGGATTAGAAGTGTTAACAAAGAATATTTAACGAGGTCCCAGGTAATTCTTAGGTTTAATAAAGTTGCCAAAGCCATTGAAGCAAGTAAATGTACCAGGAAAGCATCTGAGAACCCTAGTGCACAGATTTGGGGTTTCATTGAACCGCACGAATAAAAATAAGTTATAAAACAAGTTAATTTTGTGAATCTTTATTTTGCCAGGTAAAATTGTAGGATATCACAAACAAAATCTGCCTCAACTGTTAAAAATCATTTCATGAAACAATTAGGAGAGATATAATGGTGGAATTTGAAGAAATGTGGTACATTTAGCGTTATGGAAGACCATATGATCTTATAGTCATATGGAAGTGATCATATGGAAGATCATATGATCCATTTTGTTGCAGACTTTTTATAAGCTACAGAATCATGAATATGTCATTTGGTGTACATAGAGAATGAAAGAAAACACTGATGAGAAAGGAAAGGTGATTAGCTCTTCAGGTTTAGATGTGTCGAATTTAGAGAATTGTGAAGTAACAAGACACGCCACATAAACCAGACGAAAAAACAAGAATGTGGCCTCTTACAGTCAAGCACTCCCTGTGTAGTTTACATTTAGTACTAATTATTTTATTTTTGTTCTTGGTTCTACTCTCCACACCCACGTTTCTAAATCTAGTATTTTCTTTGTACTGCTTCCCAGATTAAAGTTACATTGTTCCTTTTGTAGGCTAACTTCAATATTTTGTAAGTGCTCTGATGAATCCTAATGGGTTCCATACAGAGCCTTAGCCCTGGTTGAAAGGGAAGCCCCCATGCTATCCTGTGTCCACCCTACTGAAACCAAGCGATAGAAAAACATTAGGCAGTTTGGGCAAGGGCCCAAGTGAACAGACAACCTCTGGAAAGTCAGAGTATACAAGGGAAGTCTCCCCCACTCTGACGTCAGAGGCCCTGCTTAAAGTCACCATTGCTGATTGTTGTTTCACTGTTTTATTTTGAATCTGCATATAAACCCCTGCATTTGGGGCTCTCTACACCATTTTCTCTTGGAGCTTCTCCGAAAAGCTTTTCTTCTTTGTAATAAACTGTACTTCTTAGCACCCCACTGCTGTCTCCATGGACATTCATTCCTGATCATCTTCAAGATGAGGGCCAGAGGGAGAGGAAAATTGGCAACACTACTTAGCTGTTAAATACTCTCCTTTGTCTGGATAAATGAATAAAGAAGTGCAAGTTGTTATGACAAGCAGATACACCCGGCTAAACTGAAGAAGATCCAGTAAAATTGCCTGTTCATTTGATAAATTCTAACAGTGATTAATAAAGGCAGAACCTGTTAGTATTACCACTTCGAGCCAAGCACATACCATATATATTTATTATAGAAAGAAAAAAGAATTAAAGACAAGGAAGGGGGGGGAATTACTCTTTTACTCTTAACTACATATTGTTTTAGCAGTATTTACTCTTACAACAAACTGTCTTAGTAGAGAATATTCACCTATGAAGAATGGAAATTCCACTAATCTTCATAAAAAGAACAAACAATTGAATTTCTAAATTGAAAGTATTTGGAACAGTGACTGAAATGATCAGTGCTCATATTATTGGCTTGCATTTATTTTTACCTAGAATTAATGTCAAGACATATGGATAAATATTACATTTATTTCTAAAGATCATAACAAAATGTGTCCCCTTATAATTTATTAGTGACCAACACATGAAAATGTCAGTGGGCAAATAATGTAACATATATATGAAAATAAAATGAAAAAATTTCAGAGACAAAAATTAAATAACAACATACAAAGGAATGTGAGCTACAACCAGACCTTAAAAGAAGAAAATATTGAAAAGTGTGAGGTCTTCTAAAAAAGTAATTTAGACGTTTGTGTTTTTTTCTAAGAATAGGAGAAAATACAGGAAAATAAAGTCTTAATTAGAAAAAATAAGACACTTGTGATATAGGGAATTTATGGGAACTTGCTTTAGGGATAATAGTTATCAAAAGTAAAGTAATATGAATTTGCAAGCAAAACTTTAATTGAGAAGATAAAATAGGGAAGGGATTTTGGCTTAAGAAGAAAAGCTAAAGACACAGCTCTGGGGGAGATCAGACTGTTTCATTTACAAAAGACTCAGACTAATATTTCACCACTGAGATGGGCTAATGGCAGGTAACTTCCTGGCAATTTTTTTTCATATATTAGAGGACCTCCTCCTAGTTTAAGGTAAGGATTAGTGACTAGCTTCTTCCTTGGAGACATCTTCCCCTGCACATCCTGTTCCTTGTAATAAGGAGAAGGTGCATTCCATACATTTTAAAAGTTAGAATAAAAAAAGACGTATTTTCCCCTTCAGTGGGAACAGGTCCAGATTAGGACCTGAGAATCCTCCATCTCCTTTTCCTGCATTACTTTTCTCTCACTGAGTTAAAATGCCCAACACCCAAAATACTGACAGTTCGTGGGGGTTTCAGTCCATACTAAGTTGGCTCCAAGCCTCAGGGTGGCATGGCAAGGCCACCCTTCATGGGCATTGCAGACAGCAAGCACAAAAAGCAAGAGAGACACATGCCTTCTCCCCACCCTTACCCTGCATGCTGGCTCCACCTCTGGGTGGATGTAGCAATCATACCACCAATCCCTGTGCTAGAGAATGAACCAATCACAAATGCTAGATATGGTTATGTCCATGATTGCATGAGGGTTGGGGGGCATCTAAACATAAACCATAACATCCTATCACTTGAAGGTACTTGTCTTATTTCACACATACATTCTTTGGAGAATGGATTGCATAAGTATGATGCCACATATTCATAATCCTGCTACTTGGAAGACTGAGGTAGTAGGATCAGAAGCTTGACATCAGTGTAGACTACATAAGGAGAGCATGACTCAAAAGCAAAGAAAGAAATAGCTTCCAAATAGTAAAACTATTGCTTGTTGTATAGAAGAAAAGTGTCAAAGAACATGGATGATTCCTTTTCTGTCATCACATTCGTCATTGTCCCTTGAGTTGCTCTTCCTCAAGAAAAAGAGGAAAGATTCCTCTATAATAAACAATGTTTATAAGTAAAAATTTTAAAAATCCCAAAATTAAAAATTTCAATTAGTTAGTTGTACTTTGCATTTAAGAAACTCTTAAAATCAAAACTTGCTCTTAGAATTTCTTAAACTTGAAATAGCTGGGCATGGTGGGGCACACCTGCAAGCTTAGCATTTGAGAGGATGAGGCAGGAGGATTGCTGTGAGTTTAAAGCCAGCCTGGGCTACATAGTGAGTTCATGGTCTGCCTAAGTTACAGAGGAAAATCCTATCAATAAATAAATAAATAAATGATTGAAATAAAAGTGTAGAGAAATGCAATAATAGTCATTTAGGGTACTTGTTTTTAGTTCCCTGACAGAATAATTTCAACTCCAATTTCTTCTACTAAGAGTAGTTTAATAAATGTTCAGTTGCATTCTCTAAACCCACATCCCCTGTGCTAGTTCTTTATTTACTCAGCCTGTCCTGGGAGCCTGTTCATGCTTGGGTTGCAAGAAAAGAAACTTCCTAGGTGATCAACCTGTTCACGCTTAGGCTTCAAAAAAAGAAACTTCCCAGAACTATTCTAACCACAAAAGTCAGCTCCACCTAGGAATGTACCAGTGATGGACTCTGTCACCATCTGTTGCTCTCACCTGGCTCATCCGCAGAGCCTCCCACCCAACAATCCTTAAAAACCCTTTTTCCAAGCCCAAAGGTGGCTTCTTGGTCCATAAGGCAGATCATTCTCC